TTTTTTTTTTTCTGTTTTTATTGCTGTTGGGTTTGTAGCTATTGATTAAGAGAAACAAACATCTTTACCTTGCCAGTATGATTTTAAAGGCAGTGCTGTTCTAGAAATGGTTTAAAACCTTGTAATTGCTTTCCATACCAGAGTTGTACCTGTTCTGATTTTATGGTTTTGGGTTTTTTACATTTCTTTATTTTAATTTTCTCTGGTTTACTTGCTCATCTTTTCTGAAACAAACTGATTTCAGCTGAAGATTTTTGATATTTTCTCTTGGAAGGTTTTGTATCTTACGGGGATATGTAAAATAAGATCTCTAATAAAAGGCAATGTTATTGTGAGATGTGGTCAGTGTCATTAATGCCTTGGCTGTTGCAAAAGTAACTTTTTTTCTCTTTTAAATAGAAAGAAACAACAAATGTTACTTCTTTGGAAAGGCTCATATGTCAKTATCTGTTGGGAATGACAGTTATCTGAGATGAACTCTGGATGAAAGGTGCAATCTATTTCACAGCTGCCAAACRGAAGAGGATAGACTTCAGAGATGTAAATATGTGAGGTTGCACAGTGTGGGAAGGAGATGGGCAGCTCTTTTGCAAAGGAAGTCTTTCACTGCCTTCGTAGAAAAAGTAGAAGGTATAAAATTCTACATTTCTTTTCCTTGAATTAATGTTTATCTGTAAAGCATTTGGGAGCAATGAAATGGAAGCTGTTCTTGTAAATTAACAAACACACCATTAGAATATAGCAAATCAAAATAAAAGTTAAATGTAATTAGACTGAACACTTTAAAAGAAGTTATATAAAGCTAATATAATGCTCTGTAATTGCATGGGGCAAGCTGAACAGGCATCAGTGTTTTGCAGGTTTGCTTCCCAAAGTGGTGATAGAGCTTGAGCATAATGACTTGCAAAGATAATAAATTTCAGTCAGTGCCTGAGGCTATTTGATGTTTTTCTGGATAGTCTTAAATGTAAATATAAAAGCGAACATACACACAGAGCAAATCCCCATAATTTTAAAGCTGATGTTTCAAGATAAAAGATGAAAATGTGTAACATCTAGCAGGCAACAATGGACATGGATTAAATTTAAAGCATCCCTTCACCATTTTAAGGTCAACCTATTTTGAAATCGATTTATATCAGCATGGCCATGTGGATAGTAGATATTCCACTAATTCCAGTAACCAGTAAAGTATACTTTTACTATATGAAATTRTACAAACTATGGTTGATGTATGCCTGTCCATTTAAAGAGTGGCTGTGTTTTAAAGAAATGTACTGGATCTCTCTATCCATCTTTACTGAGTGACATTATTGCTCTGATTTAGTGGGTTATTTGATCACGAKTTGTATATTTATGTGATAAAATATAAAACACAGATTTAGTTATTGTCCCTTTTTATTTTTGGATGACTACTCTGTCATAATGGAAGGAATTTCAAAAATCAGCCAAAGGTATTAATCTTGTCTTCTAACAGAGAAACATACAAAATTAATATATTGTCTAGAATAAGCTCAGGTCAATGGAGAACTATTGGGATTTTCAGACAATGCTGTTACTGATACAAGGTTTTTCTGTCTTCAATTTCTCTGTAAATTATAATATTGTGGTAGTCTTTCAATATACATCTTATAAACTAATCGATATTTAAAGTTCATATTGCGTCACCTAGTCTTTGCCAGGATTTCTGTGGACCGTCAGTAATACATTATTTCCRTTACTCCCCTTTCTTTAGGGAATTATTTAATAGCACAAAGAGTAGTATGAAAATAATTACATTTTTAAAAATATCCATCATGTATATAAACTTGTGCTGTTTGGACTTTAAAGGCAAAGAAATTTTTGWTTACGCATTTCAGAACTTCAGGTTTTTAATACAACACATTCTTCCTGATATGCAGTGCTCATTTCTTTGACTGACAGTGTACAAATATCATTCATGTTGTGTGCATCAGTGAACTGGAGATTTTCTTCCCAGTTTTACCTCCCCTATCACCACTCCCTGTGCACCAGACACATCCACCATACAGGAAAGCACCTGCCCTCATTCCTCACAAATCATGACCTCCAAAGTCTCATGCTCTCCCAAGACAGATGATCTATTTTTATTTTTATCTTAACTATTTTTGTCCTTTCTCCATTCTTGGCACACCAGGTAAATGTGTGGGCATTTGTAGGCTCCAGCTCTGCCTGGCGCACATCGCAGAGCTCCTGGAGCTGGGCTGTCTGCTCTGTCAGCCAGAGCACAAGGTRTGACAGGTTCTTTAAGAATTATGTGGTTTTAGTCTACATCAATGATCATGCAARTCGTGCACATGCCCTACAGCTTGCCACAGCTGCCTCACATCACTGCCCTGTTCCTAGGAAATGCACATCTGTATTTCACTGAAAATCCACTTGAACATTTTGGTGCTGTTCTCYCTTTTCCTCTTGCTCAGTTTCATGATACAGCACGCTCTTCATTTCAGGATCTTTTGGTCATCCACAAGTACACCTGCAACTTACTTTCCAGAAGTCCTGCATATGTTCAGAATTAATGATTGCCTGTCTTGCAGTTTAAAATGCCTAATGAAGACCAAATAGACTTAAGTAAGCCATGCTGTCTGAACCACTTGCAGCAGTGTAGAGACACACAGCTTTGCAAACACAAGATGACCTTTTTTCATGAAAGACTTTAGTACTTGTGACAGTGAAAAGAAGCATTATCTGTGTTTTCTTATGTTTTGAAAAAGCAGTATTTATTTTACAAGCTAAAATAAACAATATGAGTTTAAGGAAGCAATTCAGATTGACAGTGATGGTGTCAAATATTGAATACAGCTGTTGCAAACATTCTTGATGGAGCATGCTAGTWAAAGTCCTTCACCCAGATAAAGAATTAAGGTTTGCATGCCAGAAGGGATTTATCTGTTTTGACAGTGTGACCATATCAGTCTCATTGCTTTTTCTTGTCTCTCAGTCAGTGAAATCTACTGACTTGGCTAGTA